CTATTTATCCAACAGCATGTTTGTAATCATAGCAAACTAATCTTGTCCAAAATTAAACATATGATCCATTCCTCCAAAACTGTTCTTGCCAATTTTAGGTAATGGCAACATCGCCTTTTGCTTTTTTCAGGCAAAGTCTTAGAATACTATTTTAAACTTCATTCTTTCTTTGAAATTGCACATACAATATATTACTAAATTTTATTGTTTTTACCATCAAAACACTTGTGGCCAATTTCATCATCCATGACAAAACCATTTGGTTTCTATTGGTGTTTTCCCAGATAAATACAATAGCTCCTTACTGCTCCAACAATCTTCATCCTCGCCATGTTACAATAGATCTCAAATTAGCTTACTGATCAGCTTAAATCTTTCATTGGTTTTACATGTGACTGAAAAATATTCTTCCCTATGAGCAGGGTGACCATATATTTATTCTCAAAATTGGAATATTTTTTTGATCCTGGAAAAGTGGTGCCTGCCTGTAATCCCAGTGACTCAGAAGGCTGAGGCAAGAGCTCAAGTTCAAGGCCAGTCTCAGTAATTTAATGAGACCCTATCTCAAAATAAAAAATAAAAAGGACTTGGGATGTAGTTCAGTGATACAGTCCCTCTAAATTCAATCCCAAGTACTCCTTCTGCCAAAAAAAAGGAAGAGCATAGTTAATTTTGAAAGCCAAAATGGACTCTATTCATAAACTACACTAGTCAACAAGTGGGGACTGGGATTGTCTTAGGCAAGCTAGGCTTATGGTCATCTTACTTCAATGGTCTTACTCAGTCTGGTTTCTTATCATCATCTCCTTCTATTCACTCTCTTTTTCATTTCTTTCCAGATATCTGGCATCCTAACTTTTCCCCCAAATGCTAGCAGCACACACCCACCCATTTGTATTGGTTCTTTGCTTGCAAAGCATCCTTCTAAGATAACCAATGGTGTGTTGCTCCTTTATCTACATCAGATCATTTCTTAAGTGCCACCTTTCTCCAGGTCTTTATGAACAAGCTACCTCTATAACACTCTCTTTCCCTCTTGGTACTCTGAAATTTATCACATGAAAAAAATCATACATTACTTTTTTAATCTCTCCTCATTAGGTTATAAACTTCATGTGAGAAAGTTTTGCATTTAGGATTTCTAATCCATTTGGGATTTAGTCTTTGGGGAGGCATATACTAAACTTTAAATCTCTCATAGCTTGTTTGGATTTTGTTTCTCTCAGGTCACACTGTTGTAAAACCACCTATGTTCAAATTCATTGAGGTTTGCAAAATTCCCTCCAGGCCTCTTTCATTTTATTTTGTATCATTTTTTTCAGTATTGGCAATTAAGTCTGGGGGCTCTTTACCAGTGAGCTACAGTTTGTATCTATCTATATATTTATTTAATTTTGAGATAGGTTCTTGATAAATTGCACAGGTTGGCCTTGAACATTCAACTCTCCTGCCTCAGCCTCCCAATTGCATGGGATTGTGGGTGTGCATCACTGTGCCTGCATAAACTTTGGAAGTTACATAAAAATATATTTTATCAGTGTGTTTCATTTTAAAAAAAAATGGTTTGAGTTAAGAAAAATTGGTCAAGTACTGCCACCAATATATCAGGAAATTAAATTCCCTAGGTAGGATTTAAAAATTGACCAAACCTAACACATGGTTGTCTTGTACTTACATTTGAATTTGTATCTCAAAGGCCGTCAGATCTGTATATCTTAAGGATTTATTTAAAATTGCATCATTACTCATGTTGTCTCCTCATATATAACTTAAGGACTTAGCACATCAGTTATTTTCTTTAATATTTCCCAATTATTTATTAGAATCCCCATATCATGTATCTCATTTGTTTGGATTCTGAAAAACACTAAAAAAAGTAACATTTGTTTTGATGCCTTCCAAGAACACTACAACTTTTATATAGTTCCCCAAAACTGGAAAACTCTTTAAATGAACGACTTTATTCTACATCTTATTATATCATATTCTATATCATAAATTTTTATGTTAGTGAGTGGTAGCATGGAAAGTTTCTTTAAGTAGAGTCACTTATGCTATGACCTGTATTTTTCCCTCTTCATACAAAAAAAAAAAAAACAACAAAATTGGTGCTTTGAACAGATAAAAGAGAAGAAGTCATGCCATCACTCTTTTTTCTACCCACCCTTTTTGAAATATATAAAAAAATTCCCTTTCATATGACCTTGGAAAACAAGAGTAAGAATCCTTATCATTCATATTTGTGTAACAGCTTTGACTTTGACTAAAGACATTATATGACATTTACTGATGTTAAATTAGTCTCATTTTTTTCTTTCAGCAATTATCTTTTAAGGAAATAATTACTGTATTATGAACAAAACATTTTCTATATTTTCATAATTAAATTTGATTGTGTTTCTCTATGTACATGTTTTCTTAAAATAATATTCATTTCCATAGATGAATAGAGAATAATTATTCTAGTCTATGACATGTTTATAAAAGATGTTATGACATCCCATTGTTAATGTGTTAAGTTCTCTAAAAATAAGCTGTCTCTAATCTCAAGTTTATAAAGATGACAAATATTCTTGGGCAAACTACTAAAATGCTTAACTCTCAGAAGAGTATAATTTATTATTTTTCTAACACATTATGCAGTTAAAACATTTCCTATACACATTGTTGTTCCTTGCATGATATAATCAAAGACATATACATTAAGTCTTCTAATACCCAAATATAATCTATATCTTCATACATATATGTATAAATATATTAATTTGCAACACTATTTTAGTAGCTTTTTTTGCCACTGTGACCAAAAGGCCTGACAAAAACAACTTTAGAGATGGAAATTTATTTGGGGGCTCTTGGTTTCCGAGGTTTCAGTCTGTGGATAGCTGGCTCCATTGCTCTAGGCCTGAGGTGAGGCAAAACACCATGGCAGAGTGGGTGGCAGAGGAAAGCACATCCCAGTCCACCAGAAGGAGACTTCCCTCACCAAAGACAAAATATATACCCAAATAACTCAATTCCTCAAGCCACACCCTACCTTCCTACAGTTACCACCCAGTTGATCTCTAATGCACTGATGAGGATACAGCTCTCATAATCTAATCCTTTCACACATGAACTATCTTTCATTGTCTCGCACCTAAGCTTTTGGTGGATACCTCATATATGAACCATAACAAATTGTTCATACCACCTTCATCTCAAACGTTCTAAGATTTTTGTGAACATAATTTATTTCTTGGTGCAGAATGTATGATAAAAGGAACAAGAACTCTGGACTCAATTGTTATCACTGCCTCTCAACTCACAAACTCTATAATTCTTGAAAATCAAACTCATCATCTTCTGTCTTAGTCTGGAAGTCTGGAATGGGAATTATGCTTTTGAATATGTAAACTCAATTAAACTTGTGCAAGAAAAGGAGGAGCTTGTTTAGCATGTTTCAAGACTGGTAAGATATCTCATAAATCTTGATCATGGTAATGTGACTGACATCCAAATTGATTGAAATCAATTCCTGGAGTACTTTGAAGAGGCCAGTGTGTCACTCAACTTCATATTTTATTTTGTGTTTTTCTTCAACTTTGTAGTATCTTTGTTTAATATAAGTTTACATAGACAGAAAAACACCACTTTATAAAACAGCCAGTTTTAAATTTTATCAACACATAAATATATTTACAATTTAGATTAAACTCTACTAGCCTCAAATTCCCAGTTGATAGACAAGTTATTGACCTATTTTTTTTTTTGAAGTGATCATCACTGGGGCCAATCTCTCAGTGCCAGAGCATCAACATCAAATTATACAAACCCTGTTGGTTTCTACTGCAATTGAACAGGGTATAATGAGGTGAGAAGAGAGATTTAAATAGGAAAGGATTTGTTTTAGTCAGCTTTTTGCCACTGTGACTAAAGGACCTGATCGGAACAATTTTAGAAGGAAAAGTTTGAGGGTTCACGGTTTCAGAGGTCTTAGTTGGCTCCATTCCTCCAGGCTCCAGATGAGGCAGAACATCCCTGTGGTAGAATGTGGCAGAAGGAACAATCTCATACTGTGACCAGGAAGCAGAGACTCCACTCTCCAGATACAAAATATATACTTCATAGCCACACTGCCAATGAACCACTTCCTCCAGCTGCTCCCTACTTGCCTCAGTTACCATTCAGTTAATCCAGGGATTAACCTAATAATTTCTCCTCCAAATCTTGCATTGTTTCAAACATGAGATTTTGGGAGACAGCTGACTTCCAAACCTTAACAGGAAGTCTCAGTTTACAAATGTTGCTCACTGTCATGAAGGAGCTACTTTAAGAATGAAAATAGGTTTGGAGTCTGACAAGTTATTGATATTATATTTACCCGTATATAAAATAATTATAATTCCAATGAGGTGGTTTCTTGCAACACCTTCCTGAAATGATATATAAATTCCCTTAGAGTTTTTAATAGACTTTAGTAAACCAAGTGTTGTGAAAGTTAAGAAAGTTTTTTTTTTTTTGTTAAGGTCTGTAAACAAGTCTGGATGGCACCTGGCATTTTGCCAGAGGGAGTGGTTTGTGAAGTAACTCCAGCAAGCCATTAAGTGTGGAGATTCCTTATTGGTTGACTGCTGTATTGAGTTTATGTTAATTAGATAAGCTGTGTGGAATGTATAAATACCTCTGTTGTCCTACAATAAACGGCTCCCACTCCTGCTGTATCAATGTACACAAGTTGTTGTCACCCCCCGGTTATTTTGCCCAGCCAGCCGGACTGCAGCAGATTTTAGGTGTTATTGAATAGTGCAAGACTAGGAATAGAGGACCATAGTAGATACAGCTTGGTGACTGAGAAGGCCTTGCTGTCTGTGCATTTTAAAAAGCTTTTGGCCTGCCCCTGCCTGGCTCCCATGATGTGGCATTGGTCACTGGACTGAGCTGTAGGCTGAGAAGACACAAGGGAAGTTGCCATCACCAGAGTTGAATTCGCTGCTGGCAGTGCCTGGACCTCCAGCACCATGCCATTTACGATTATTTCTATAACCTTCAAGCAGCGCCACAAATTCAAACAAAGAGTAGAAGTGCGACTCACCAGATAGTAGTCTCCCACCAAGATCCTGGTGATACTAGACACAAGGGTGAGAAGCAGCTGCCTGTCCTGGATAAGACCAAGTTCCTCATACCTGAGCACATTAATGTGAGTGAGCTTATCGAGATAATTAGAAGGCACTTGCAGCTCAATGCAAACCAGGCCTTATTTCTCTTGGTGAATAGGAGTGTAGCGTGGTGAGACATAAACCATGCCTGAGGTATATGACAGTGAGAAGAATAAAGATGAGGACCTGCACATGGTGTATGCTTCCCAGGAGACTCTTGGAAGCAAGTTGTCAATGTAAGACTAGGATGGTGATCTCAGAGATTTCTAAGCCCTTACCAAGGCAAAAAAGAGACATGACTGACACTGACTAGTTTATCTGCTCTGGCCATCAGAACAGCTGTGTTCCACCAAGGAGCTTTAGGAGTTTTTGTGTTTCAAGCCAAAAATGAAGCTCCAAAAGAGCACACTGAGCTTTGGAAAACTATTTTTTTTTTAACCCAGGCACCTTGTTTTCAAATTTTATAGGTTTAAAAATTAAATACTTTGCATCCTAAGTTGCCCAAAAAAGAAAAAAAAAAATACACCTTCAAGTTATTTGAATGTTCTTCTTTCCCCCAGTAGAATCTTGCAGTTTGAACAGCAACTTGCAGGACATTCAGAGAAACACCAAGACTCTTCCCGGTTTAGAGAACTTGGCACCTTTTCATAGAAGAGTTTCTATTGAAGTACAGCAATCTCCTTAAGTGGATATCTATGCACATGCCCCCAAACATTTTAGCTTTTGCAAAGAACAAGGTCAAAGGGAGGCCTTGTGCATGATTCAAGGTTCCTGATCCCTAGCTACAGCAAGCCATGCCCCAGCAGTGCAAGAAAGTTCTCCTTTGGGTTTCTTCTCTAGTAGGTTAACACAGGAAAGTACCACTGCTCAGTAGAAAATAGGGGCCTTGAACTGTATGTGCATTTGGCCTAGTATCTTAAAAGGCTATAGAGAAAAGGAGCATTTGTTTTTCTTCCTGTTTGGGATTTTCTCTGTTCTGAGACTTCAGATTGGAGCCTCCTTTAGTGAGTGACCAAGCACTGTGCCCATGAATTCTTAGGATGCAGTAAATAGGAGAAAATTGTACAGCCAAACAACACTGGCCTCTCAGACGCCCTCCTTTGTTTTTTGGCTTAAAGCTTCAGATACCTTTTCATGTTAAGTGTGTAATTAAAATGTTCTCAAGTTTTTAAGAGAAGTTGTGAAATCCCATTAGGATGCCCCCTTTCCTTGTCCACTGGGAAGAAAACAGCAAAAGGAGACTTATGATTTTGACAAATGTTTTCATCCCAAGTTACATATCCTCCAGATCCAACATGGAATAAGCCAGCAGTGTTTCTTGCTGCCTGCATGGGGCTGTTGACTCTGTTCCCTTCTTGGGAGTGTCTCAGAAAGACCAGTTACACAACTTCAGGACAAGGTAGCCCTTGTGTCTGTGGAGTAACTCAGCAAGAACCAAACCATGCACTAGTAAGGAGGGAAAAGGAACAGGGTGACACCCTACATTTGGGCTCCTCTCCTCAGGAACCTCCCTGCTCCTTATTGCACATGTCTGTCCAGGTGGCTAGCTTTTAATATGTTTATTTTTACATTAAGTAAATTCTCAAAGCCTGTTGTTTAAACTGTATACATCACTGTACCAGGGATTCCCATAACTACTGTGTGAATATAAGATTCCTCTAATACTGCATTTTTAAAAAACAAAGCAACACACTCAGAAAGCAGTTCTTATTCTGGAATATTTAAACAAATATGCTTTTAAGGCAGCGAGTGAGTATATGCATAAATGTCAAAAAAAAAAAAAAAGTTCCTGTGACCCATGTAATGATTAATTATTTAGAGGTGTGTTTGAATGGAGGCTGGAAGATCTGTGGCATTAAGCTGACATAGAGAAAGAAATTCTCTTTCATAAGTGGTATCGTAAATATATTCAGATTGGAGAAAGCAGTTTGATGTACACATTAGTTTGACTAAGAAAAACCCTATCAAAATAGGTAGTGATTGCTGTGTTGCAGAAATCAACACCAGCTCTTATTTTGGGCACTCAACTGAATTATATTTCTGCTTACTTCAAGCTGGAAACAAAGGACTATGTTCTGGCCAGAGATAGAAAACATATAGAAATGTCCAATTCTGCTTATATAGTGTATTTTATGCTCTTATCTTCTTAGTATTTCTAGGTTTTTGATGGTCTAGAAGACAGCAGCAACACAAGATAAAAGAATTAGCTCCATAGGTACCTGCTTATAGCAATCGCTCAATGGGGAAGCTACATGACAAAGAATGTCTTGGCATTTGTAAAATAAATAAATAAATACTGTGTTCACCAACTAAAATTCAAATTGCATTCTGTATATCTAGTGGTTATCCTGGCTCTAATGGAAGGTTTATGATACAAAGTAGAATAAAACTCCTGGGAACTTAACAAAAAGATGAAAATATGGAAAATGGGAGCAAAAATTCAATAATTAATAAAAGAAAGTAGAGGACAAAATTAGGTTATTCAAAATCTGAAAAATGGGAGTCTCCCATCTGAGACAAGTTATAATAGATGTTGGAATCATAAACATCACAATAATTATGATAGTAATTATAATAAAATGGCCCCTATGGGCAACATTATATATGAAAAGTATCAAGTTACACTTTACCATAACATTTCATAACACAGAAAATTTAGCACTTAAAAGAGTACAGATAATAAACATGTTTCCTAGAGGAAATTAACCTTAGAAGCCAAATAATAAAAATAAAATAAAATAATTTGGCATACCCTCTCTTTGATTTTTACTGAAATTAAAATAAAAAAAAAATCCTTAGAAAAGAGAAGTGTGATATCCAGAATTTTGAGATTATTTCTAAGCACACTTGTGAGGGAGACATCCCGCCAACAACAACAAAAAACAAAACAAAACAAAGAAATAGTGGCCATTCATAGCAATCAGGCAGGATGAGGGAGGCTAAAGAAGGAAGCTTGTATGGAAGTGCAGGACTCAAGTAACATCTGATGTACATTTGGGGCACTGGGAAAATTGGTGATTTCTAGTTAAAACCTGGGAAAATAAACAAAAATGAGTTATGAATTCTAGGGAAAATGTATAAGAAAGGAATTAAGATAATATGCTCTTCAACTCAGTAGAAAATTATATTTGCTAAGTCACTATAATATAAATATTGATTATCAGTTTGATCAAATATATGGCATAACTGTATTTTAAGGATCAGAAGTGGTAAAATGTGTGTGTGCGTGTGTGTGTGTGCACACACACCTGAGTGACTGTGTATAAAGAACACTAACGTGGGCCAAAACACTCACTGCTACACACAATGACAAGTCTGTGATGAATGTCTATACTCTAATCTAGAAATAAACATGCAAGAAAATTAGAAAAGTTAAAGAAAATGTTTAGAGAAAAATCTAGGTAATTTTTAAAAAATGTTATGCTTGGGAAACAAATTACAGATTAGGCAAATTTGTGGTGCCTGCTATTCAAGACAGTGAGGTAGGAAGATTTCAATTTTGAGGGCAGTCTGGGCAATTTAGAAAGAGCCTGGTTCAAATAAATAAATAAACTAACAAATGAGTGAATAAATAAAGGACTGGGGATATAGCTCCATGTTAAAGAACATTATGTATAATCCCTAGTAAGTAAAGAAAAAAAATCAGAAAAGGGATTTCTACTTTCCATATTAGCACTGATATATTTTATGTTCATTAATATCTTTAACAAAATTATTTGTAAATGAATAGGCTATATTTAGTACATATGATATGCATACACACAAGCTATCTTTGTACTTATTTTACATTTAATTTCAGTTACAAGATATATATGATCTTAGTATGCACATATAATCCCAATTTAATGTATATTTTAATTGGCTTAATTGATAGAACTAAGTGGGTATATATTTTAGAGGACTACAACTCCTTGTTTTTTTCATTACTGTAGGGAAGATCACACCCAGAAATATTTTGACACAATTAAGCCTCAGACAGCTTTGTACTTAAGAAGGGATTAATTTTCTGAAATGCTCCAGGCGATTGGTTATTAAACAAATCCTTTCACCCAATTCAAGCACAGTAGACTATGATTGGCATTTTATCCTGTGGTAAGTGACAACTATTCATCAGAGATGTGAAAAAAGACTTGACCTTAAACATCCAGACTCAGTCCAACACTTTTTAAACTGAGATGGGAAAGATGTAAGTCAATGGATTCAATGACTAAACCCAAATCAATTTCTAATCACAAAATGTTTATTTTATATTTTCTCTTAACACCTTATATATTTAATTGACAATTAACGAAATGGAGAAAATTACAAAGAAAAACATATCCAGTACCTTTTCTATTCAAAACAGCTACTGAAAATACATTGGCCTATTTTCTCTCACTTACTGTTTGAGCTTTTAGCTCTAGTGATTATACTGTGCACATGTTTATCTTTTAATCACTTAATATTATACTATATGAAATTATTTATAGATTTTTATAAATGGAATTTTAATGATTGCAAAATGTATCATCATATCAAAAATGTCATAATGTATTTAGCAATTTTACTTAATGTTGAACATTCATTTTTCAATACCACAGTTAATGCTGCATTGGATGTTAACATTTTTGAAGATATTTCCTATGACAAAATCATCAGACATGGATTTAGCTCATTTTCAAAATGATAATGAATGCATACTTTCCCAAACATATATATCTAAACTCTAATATTAGTATCTTTCCATGAGCACGCTTTGATGGAAGCAACTGGTAGCACATGGGGTTCTTAGTCAATGGATATACTTCCCCATATGTGATGGATTTGCTTCTGTCCCGATAAAAGATATGTTGAAAACCTGACCCTCAGTACTTCAGAATGTGAAGTATTTGGAAATAAAGTGGTTGAAGATTAGGTGGTGATTAGGTCATGCAGGAGTAGGGTGATTAGGTCATGCAGGAGCTTCATTTGTGAACAGTGTCATTTAAAAAGAGAGAGGGAGACACAGATACAGGGGAAGACCATGCCATGAAATAATGGAGGCAGGGACTGAGGGTTCTGCAGTACCAGTTAAAGGACACCAAAAATTTCAGGTAAGCCATCAGTAACTACAAAGAAACAAACACTTTCTCTCACATCAGTTTCTGGGCAAGAATGAATTTTTGATTTTTGATTTCTAGCTTATAGAAATATAATAAATAAATGTTTGTTGTGTTAAGACACCTGGTAGTTACAACAGTTGTAGGAAACAGATATGCCAT